TAACGAAGCTAGTTGGAGGAACCCCAGTTTCAACAGAAACTCTTCTTGCTACAAGAAGGACGTCCAAATAACTGGAGTAGTGAAGTGGTGATACTTCAAGGAAACTCAGTGAAAGGACCAGTGTTAAAGGAAGCCAGGCAGTGCATCCCAGGACACACCTAGGCTTGAAGAAGACGTGGAGTGCTTCTTAAGTGCTAGGACTAAGACTTTGTAAACGGCAGTTTTTACAGCTTAGTGGAACAGTGGATTAGAGGAACGAGTTGTTCCTTGAACCACTATAAAAATCCCTGGTGTCGTTTACTTACTGCTTTTAATACTTGCACTTAGATAGAACTGTATAACTCCTTGGACTTGGTATCTGTGTTCAGCAGAACTTGTTCTACGAGTTAACAGAAGGCCTTCTGCCTTTGCTTCTCTGAGGCTAACAGAACCCCCTACCAGAACCCCATCCGCTGCCAGTCTGTTCCTTCAACAGAACAGGCTATTCTGTAAATCTGGTACTTAGTTTAAAAAGCTAAAAACCAATACAGTCTATTCACCCCCCCCCCCCTCTAGACTGTATCCAGTATAACCGGGACCAACAGAAGCAGATGACGGTGGAACAATGGAAGAAGAAGATGTAAGTGAGAAAGGAAGAAGTCATGACAAGAATGTTAAAGATGCAGTAGACGACGATGGAAGAGTGGATGAAGAAGGTGAGGGTGAAAGAGTAGAAGAAGCAAGTTAGAAAGGAAAAAATAATGAGAAGACTGATAATGATGCTTGGGGAGATGTGAACGCCCAATTTGTGAATGAAATGATCACAAGTGTGGATGAAATAGAAAAACAAATGCTAGCTAAAGCGAGCACAACTGCTTGTTGGGTGTGTTTCGGAAAATAAAGAAAATTAATTAAAATAAATTAATTAAATAAAATGACTAGAGAAAAACAAGAAAGGAGATGAAGCAGAATTAGTCAAAGCTCGTGCTACGCACGATTTCCTTAAAACGTATTTGTTGCCTCCCACGGTGCTAGGAGCGTTGCAACAATCGTTTCCCAGGATACGATGACTACGAACTAATGTTTGAGCACACAAACAAGAGTTCCAGCAAACGAGAACCAAGAAGAACACAGAAGGAATTTTCAGAGTAGCTGTAGGCGTTTTTAGCTGAAGAATACGTGAGGAATGTATTGTGCGTTGTGTCAAAACCGTGTGTTTGTTGCAAAGCACCTGCCAGCTATTTATAGGAGGATTTGTTGTGTGTTAAATGGGGTGTTAATGGACCTGAACGTTGGACATCAATGACCAGTCCGTTGGGCATTGAATCGTCCATTTAACGCAGCATTAAAAGAGAAGAACGTTGGGCATTAATTGTTGTAACGGAAGAAATGCGCGACAGAAGACCTCGAGGGTTTCTGTTCCGGACAGAACTCGAGCATCTCTGTTCCGGACAGAACTCCACCCCTTCTGTCACTGGGAAAAATAAAACGTTACGGGAAGAAACAAAAATTAGACCGTATCTTTGAATGATAGGTTTTCGGACGACATTCGTGTCCGCAGGTCGCCCGCGCACACGAGTCGCGGTTTTTCTTCTCCGTTTCGGGATTTGATCGGCACCCCCCCCCTGCGCGTAAGAGAGAGTCTTTCCCTTTAGGAATCTTAACTCCTTAAAAGAGGCTTCCCTTTATAAGGGGGTGAAAATCCCTTGAGTTTTTCGGTGTGGGATAAAACACACTAGAAACTCACCATTTCCCCAGTTTTTCCATTTCAACGAGTGAACTTCGAGAATCAATTTCTCATTCACCCGTTATCCGTTTTGAGTGTACCACATATCGAATTGTAGCCCTTAACAAGGACAATCCGAAACCACTTTGACTCGACCCAAATCGGAAGTGGACCCCTCTCAAATAATTGCCCCAAAATGACCATTTAATGCAATTTTTAACACATTTTTCCAACAATCCCCCACATGAATGAAAATTGATTTTCGGGACTTAAAAAGACACGAAGATAGGAGGACACGTTGTGTTCACCGGATGATCCTTGCATACGGAGAGGTAGGTTTTATCCTTTGAACCTTCTGTTGTAAAGACACGTTTATTTACTGGTTGTCTAGTAGACTCGATGTCCTTGAACTATACTGCCGTCGTGTAAACATTGACTTATCTTTACACAAGAACCTTCCAACTTTGTTCCGTTCTCATGGGTGTGCCCGTTTTGGCCATGGGTCACCGTCCTGGTTCTGCAAGAGTTTCTAAAGAACTGAGCCTTTACAGTTCTCCTTTGAAGCGGCCCTCTTCTCTCTCACATAGGTGATTCTTTCACGAGTATCCCACATACTCTTCCAATGTTATCGAGTAGATCAACATTTTAGAATCATTAAAGCAAACGTTTTTGCTAACCTCGTGCGGGAGTCACTGTTTTAACGAGGAGTGGGTAGGAGTCCGGGACCCCCACAGTGACCATCCTTCGCTCTATAATTTAGTTGTCCCTTTTGAACCTAGGACCAACTAGGTTGGGTATCCACTATGGAACTTTTCAATTCACGGGCTTTAGTCCCATTCCTCGTGACAACTTCTCCAACAATTCTCTATCCAATGCCTTGGTTAGCGGATCCACTATGTTATCCTTTGACTTCACGTAGTCAACAGTGATAACACCCGTTGTGAGGAGTTGTTTAATGGTGTTATGTCTACGACGAACGTGTCTAGACTTACCATTGTAGAGATTGCTCTGTGCCCTTCCAATTGCCGCTTGACAATCGCAATGTATGCATATTGGAGGGACAGGCTTCTCCCAACCTGGAATATCCTCAAGAAAATGGCGTAGCCATTCAGCCTCTTCAGTGCACTTATCCAAGGCTATTAGCTCAGACTCCATCGTGGATCTAGCTATTAACGTTTGTTTAGAGGATTTCAATGATACGGCTGCACCTCCCAAAGTGAAAACATATCCACTTGTGGACTTAGAGTCCTTTATGTCGGATATCCAACTAGCGTCGCTATACCCTTCAAGTACAGCTGGATATCTTCCATAGTGCAATCCAAGGTTTTGGGTTTTACGTAAATACCTCAAAACCCTTACTATTGCCTTCCAGTGTTCAACACCGGGGTTGCTAGTATATCTACTCAACTTGCTAACCACAAAGGCAATATCAAGCCTGGTACAACTCATTAGATACATCATGCTTCCAATAATCCTAGCGTATTCTACTTGAGAAATACACTCTCCACGATTTTTGGTAAGTTGTACGTTTTTATCTAATGGAGTCCTTGCCTCTTGATAATCATCCTTATTAAATTTCGTAAGGATTTTATCAACGTAATGGGATTGGCTTAGCGTAAGATCGTCAGGTCCTCTAATTATTTTAATCCCAAGGATTAAATCGGCCAGCCTCATATCCTTCATGTCAAATTTAGAATTTAACATGCTTTTGGTAGAATTAATCATTAGATTATTGCTACCCACGATGAGTATATCATCCACGTATAAACATAAAATGACATAGCCGTCTACCGTGCTCTTCACATAGACGCATTTGTCACTTTCGTTTATTTTAAACCCATTAATTAACATTGCATGATCAAACTTTTCGTGCCACTGTTTAGGGGCTTGTTTCAATCCATACAATGATTTAATTAATTTACACACTTTCCTTTCTTGGCCTGGAACACGAAAGCCCTCGGGCTGTTCCATATAGATTTCTTCGTCTATATCGCCATTTAGAAAAGCGGTTTTTACGTCCATTTGATGAACTTCCAATTTCCGCAATGCGGCAATTGCTAGTATCATCCTAATGGAATTTATTCTCGTCACAGGAGAATATGTGTCAAAGTAATCATGGCCCTCACGTTGCTTGTATCCCTTGATTACAAGTCTGGCCTTGTACTTATCGATGGAACCGTCAGTTTTCATTTTCCGTTTAAAAATCCACTTGGATCCCAAAGGTTTATTTCCCGGAGGAAGATCAATCAATTCCCATGTGTGATTTTTAAGGATAGAATCCACCTCACTTTTGATGGCTTCTTTCCACATAGGACCTTCGGTAGACGTCACAGCTTCCGTATAAGTCCGTGGTTCATTTTCTACCAAACATGTTAGAAAATCCGGTTCATTTTCTACCATACATGTTAGAATATCCGGTTCAAATTCTACCAGGTAGGTGAGAAAATCCGGTCCGAAGGATTTTTCAACTCTAGCACGTTTGCTACGTCTGGGTTCGGGTTCTTCTCCGGATCCGTCGCTAGTATTTTCCATAGCTACGTCAAATGTTCGTTTTGACGTGCTAGGCCCTTCGTTGGACTTGCATGGAAATACATCTTCAAAGAATGAAGCATTCCTTGATTCAATTATTGTATTTTTATGTACATCCGGATTATTCGAATTGTACACTAAAAACCGATAAGCACTACTATTTTGTGCATACCCAATAAAAATACAATCCACCGTTTTTGGACCTATTTTTATTTTCTTAGGTGTTGGTACAAGCACCTTAGCAAGACACCCCCACACTTTTAAATATTGATAGGAAGGCCGCCTGCCTTTCCACAACTCGTACGGAGTTTTATCATATTTTTTCCGGAGAACCTTATTTAAAAGGTAATTGCTTGTCAAGATTGCTTCGCCCCACATATTTTGTGGCAAGCCCGAACTTACTAGCATCGCGTTCATCATATCTTTCAATGTGCGATTCTTTCGTTCGGCAACACCGTTTGATTGAGGTGAATAGGGTGCGGTACGTTCGTGTAGTATACCCACACTAGCACAAAAGTCACCAATTGGTGCTTCATACTCACCACCTCGATCACTCCTAACCGTCTTAATCCGTCGATTAAGTTGATTTTCCACTTCATTCTTATAAAGAATGAATTTATCGATTGCTTCGTGTTTATTTTTTAATAAATAAGCGTAGCTATAGCGTGTGCTATCATCGATAAAGGTAATAAAATATTTATTACCGCCACGTGTTTGTATTGATTTAAAATCACAAACGTCACTATGAATTAATTCAAGTGGTTCCGTTTTTCTTTCAACCGATTTGAAAGACGTTTTCGTTAGTTTTGCCTCTACACAAACTTCACATCTGTGCTTCACATCAATTGTGAATTTAGGAATGTGCTCCATGTTAATTAATCTACGTATAGAATTAAAATTAACATGTCCTAGTCTACCATGCCACACATTGGAAGACTCAAGCAAGTAAGCAGAAGGGATTTTATTATTATTATTAATAATAGTCATTACATTGAGCTTAAAAAGGCCATCACATGTATACCCCTTGCCCACATACATTCCCGACTTAGACAAAACCAGTTTGTCCGACTCAAAAACCATGCGGAAGCCATGCTTGTTCAACAACGAACCGGAAATCAGGTTTTTGCGTATTTCCGGAACAAACAGCACTTGGTTGAGAGTCAGCTCTTTGCCCGAAGTCATCTTCAGGACCACCTTGCCCACGCCTTGAACCGCGGAATGAGCCGAGTTACCCATCCACACTTTCTCACCATTTGATGGCTCAAAAGTTGTGAATAACTCCCGGTTTGAGCAAATGTGCCGGGTTGCACCGGTGTCCACAAACCGCTCCTTGGAATTGGATCCAACGAGGTTGATTTCCGTAACCACTTGGATAATTGATGCCACTTGGAAAGGCTCACTAACTGTCATTCCTTCATCTCGAATTTCGTTGAAAATCATTTGCATCTCCTCAACTTGACTCAAGACCGTCTTCGAATCCACCATAGGTAATTTGCTATAAACGTCGTACAAAGCATCATGCAGCCCGTTCAACACATAGTTTCGGCAAAAAACAAAAATTAGACCGTATCTGTGAATGATAGGTTTTCGGACGACATTCGTGTCCGCAGGTCGCCCGCGCACACGAGTCACGGTTTTTCTTCTCCGTTTCGGGATTTGATCGGCACCCCCCCCCCCCCCTGCGCGTAAGAGAGAGCCTTTCCCTTTAGGAATCTTAACTCCTTAAAAGAGGCTTCCCTTTATAAGGGGGTGAAAATCCCTTGAGTTTTTCGGTGTGGGATAAAACACACTAGAAACTCACCATTTTCTCAGTTTTTCCATTTCAACGAGTGAACTTCGAGAATCAATTTCTCATTCATCCGTTATCCGTTTTGAGTGTACCACATATCGAATTGTAGCCCTTAACAAGGACAATCCGAAACCACTTTGACCCGACCCAAATCGGAAGTGGACCCCACTCAATGCGAAATCAATGCGAAAGCGGTAAGATTTTTGTTTTACAAACCTTAAACAAAAAGAAAATTAAATAAATGAAGAACTTTATGTTATATGAGTAGTTCTGTTGATTTTTTATTTTTTTCTTGTGTTGGTTTTACTAGAAGGATATGGAAAAAGGAGTTGAAGAGAGTGAGATGAGGGAAACCAGAACAAAGCGTAAAGAAGTGGAAAAGGATGTAAGTATATTTTGGAAAAAGTTCCAAATATTTGGAAAAAAATCCAAATATTTGGAAAAAGTAAACTATAACATTTGGAAAAAGTTCCAAATATTTGGAAAAAAAATCCAAATATTTGGAAAAAGTAAACTATAACATATTACTAAATTACATGTGAAGACAAATGCAAAGAAAAAAGCGCAATGCAAGGACCCCAGACCGATATACACCTGGAGAAACTAAAGTTCGGGCTAAGAGAAGAAGGAAGCAAATAGCTAAGAGAGATGTAGAGGGAAGTTATTTTCCTCCAAGAGAGTATGGACCTTTTGCGGAAGACCCGACTGAGAGACCACCAGAAGAAGAAATAAAAAAGGTGGAAGAATATCTAAAAGTTGGTCTCTTGAAGAAATTGAAGAAAAAGGGATGTGATGGAGTATATGGGTCTGAGCCCCAGGACCCACATACTCGGAAGAACAGAGCACAAGACAACAGAGTGGCGCCCTCGTCGGCCAAGACGCCCCCGTCGGCCGAGAAGAAGCCAACCCGGATTATGATCCTGAGTCCAAGGAACCCGGGTGCCCCCGTCGGCCGTGCCCTCGTCGGCCGTGCCCTCGTCGGCCACGCCCTCGTCGGCCACGAGGACCTCCCAGAATCGGATCCTATACTTACTCATTTGTACAGCCCATTAGTAGCTTTGTATTCGGCCCAGTAGCGGTCCAGTTGTAAATGGGCCTCCCAAGCCCAAGGCTTGGGAGCCCAACCCTAATTTTCTCTATAAATACTCCCCTTGGGAGTAGTTATAGGGGGTTACAAAATCATTCTATTGAAGCATATTATTGCACTTCTCTCTCTAGCTCTCACTTCTCTCTAGAATCTAGGAGTTAATACTCTATCATTTGGTGCTCTCGTTGAGAGCTAGAACAATCAAGTTAGCACCCTTCGTCGCTACCAAGCACAGCTAACCACTGATCATGGGGAGAACTAAGTCAAACCGCAACCTCGTCAGCAAAGCCATCCCTGAGGACCAAGAGCCCAGGGAGCACGATGAGGACGCCACGGCCGACCAAGTCGGCGGAGGGGACCTCTTCCAGGAAGCCTTCAACCTCACGAAGGACCTCCGCAACCAACTCAACAGCGGAGTCCCCGACGCCCGCCTCGGCCTGGAAAAGAGACGGGCTGAGAAGACGGACCACGCCCCGGCCCAGCCTATGGCCGCGGCCTCTCCGTCCGTGGACCCACAGGTCCAGGCCGCGCTGTCGGTCATCATCGCCAGCCTGGCTCAGAACCCCACCGTCCTCAGCGCGCTCTTGCCAAGGACCGGGGGAAACGTCACTCCGCCTCCTCATCCCCAACCACTGGCCGACCAGATAGGCAACAATGAGGGGGTTGTGGCCCAGGACACGGCGTCGTCCCACTCCCACCCTGCTTCCCCTCTTCGGCCCGGGCAGACCCCAGCGCGTGGAAAAGCCTCTGCCTTTAATAGGCTAGGTGACGCGCGCCGTCGTCCGGTTTCGGAGAGGATGGCGGGACGGATGGGTGATCTTCGTCCGGGCTCGCCAAGGGAGAGTTTGGGGTCTGTGTCCCGGACAGCGGACCAGCCCCGCTCGGACAAGGGCAAGGGGAAGTTGCGCGAGGATGACGCGCGTCACCAGATCAACGCGGCTCACAACGAGCGCCTGAGGAACCAGACGGGCGCCGCTGCGGCCGATAGGGACCCCCGGGACGAGGTCATCGCCCAGCTGGAAAGGAGGCTGGCTCAGATGGAGGCCAAGCAGTCGGCCAACGTCCCTACGGCCGGCGCCTCCAACGACCTCGGCCTCAACGCGCTCATGAACAAAGTCAGCGCCCTGGAGAGGGAGCTGGCCGAAGGGCGGGGTGACCCCATCATCCAGGTCAGAACTAGGACCCCTTTCACCAACAGGGTCCTCTCGGCCCCCATCCCTGAGAAGTACAGGGGGAACGCCATCAAGTCCTACGATGGCCGATCAGACCCCCAGGAGCACTTCAGCCGCTATCAAAACAACATGCTGATGGTGAACGCGTCCGACGAATACCTCTGCCGTTGGTTCCTCTCTACTCTCGAGGGGCCAGCGTACGAGTGGTTCAACGGACTGCCAGAGGGAAGCATCGACTCATGGCAAGATCTCGCCCAGCGCTTCCTCACTCACTTTGTCGGAAGGAAGCGCGCCAAGAAGTATTTCACCCACCTCCTCTCCGTCAAACAGCAGCACGAGGAGTCCCTCCGGTCATTTATCGACCGATGGACGAGGGAGACCGAGGAGGTCGAGGGGGCCGATGAGCGCACCCTCCTCGCCTTGTACCAGGGAGCCCTCCGCAGCTCCCCGTACGCCAGGAGCCTCATCACCGACCCCCCGAGGTCATACACCAAGGCGCTCCAGCGCGGAGGCTTGTACGCCGACGCCGACGAGCTCCACAATCACAAAAGAGAGGGGGGCCATCCCCCCAAGAAGACAAATCCTTCGCCGGCCTCGGGTCCGTCCCCGGCCGGCCAGGGTGCCCAGGGCCGCCACGGCTCTGGTGGACAAAGTAAGAAAGACCGCCACTGGCGGCCGAGGCTGGAACGGCCGGGGGTAGCCCTCACCCACCCGGTCGGCACCATCCTCGATTATGCCGAGAAGCACGGCCTCATCGAGCAGGCTCCTCGGCCGGCCGAGGAGGTCCTGGCCATCCAACAGGGCGGCACGTATTGCCGGTTCCACAAGAACTCGTCGCACAACACCGACGATTGCATCACATTGAAGAAGGCCATCGAGCGCCTTATTCGACAGGGGGAACTCTCCCAGTTTATCAAAGGTGGCCCACGTAAAAACACTTGGGTAAACACCGGCAAACGTGGGGGCGAACCCTCTGCGAAGAAGCGCGAGATTGGTAGGCTCAGCGACGACGAGGACTTCGAGGAGCCTCCGCCGAAGAAGAATCACATCCACCTCATCGTAGGCGGAAACACTGGGGGGGACTCCGCCACTCAGAGAAAGAAATGGGCCCAATCCCTCTACATTGGAGAGGTGTCCCACGTTCCCCCCCAGCTGAAGAAGCAGCGAACGGAGGCGATCATCTTCACCAACAAGGATCTGCCTCCGGGTACGGAGTCACACAGGGACGCCCTCGTCATCCGATGTGAGATCGGTGACTCCATCATCCACCGTACTTACATCGATACGGGGAGCTCCGTCAACGTGATGTACCTAGACACCTTCAAGCAGCTGAAGCTGGACAGAGCTCTGCTGAAGCCGATCAAGACCCCGTTATCCGGCTTCACCGGGGACTCTATCGACGCCGAGGGCACGATAGTCCTCCCCGTGGAAGTCGGTGACGGCCCCCACCATGCCAAAATTGACATGGAGTTCATGGTGGTCAACCTCGAGTGCGCCCACAACCTGATCTTGGGCCGGCCAGCGCTGGAGGACTTGGAGGCCATCATCTCCATGAAGCACCTATGCTTGAAGTTTCCCACCAATGACGGCATCGGCTACGCCAGAGGAAACCAGAGGATAGCCAGAGCTTGTTACCTCAAGCTGACGAGGCCGGCCGAAAGGGAAGGACAGCGGATAGACACCATCACGACCGCCGTCGCCATGGACGAGGAGAGGCCACATGCAGAGCCGGCCGAGGAGGTCGAGGAAATCCCTCTGGATACCTCCCGGCCGGAGCGGGTTCTCAGGGTCGGAAAGCAACTCCCCCAGGACCAGCGAGACGCCATCCTCCTCGTCCTACGGTCATACGCCGTTGTCTTCGCGTGGGGCCCGGACGACATGCCCGGCATCAGCCGCCAGGTGATCACTCACCGGCTGACCGTCGATCCGGCCTCCGCGCCCGTCAAACAGAAGCGGCGCTACTTGTCCGCTAACAGGCGGGACTTCGTCAAAAGGGAGGTCGCCATGCTCTTATCGATCAAACATATCAAAGAGGTGAAGTACCCAACATGGTTGGCCAACGTCGTCCTCGCACAGAAACCGCCGACGTTCAGAATGTGTGTTGACTACACTGACCTGAACAAGGCGTGCCCCATGGACCCGTTCCCCCTCCCCAACATGGATCAGTTGGTGGACGAGACGGCAGGGTGCGAGTTAATGTCGTTCCTCGACGCTTTCAGAGGGTACCACCAGATCTCCATGCACGAAGATGACGCCGAGAAGACGGCATTCATGACCCCAGAGGGAATATTTTGCTACCTCGTCATGGCCTTCGGACTCAAAAACTCCGGCACCACCTATACTAGGATGGTGGCCAAAATCTTCAGAGCGGTCCTTGGCCGGACGATGGAGGCGTACGTCGACGACATGATCGTCAAGAGAAGGCAGGCCACCTCCCACGCCGACGACCTCCGGGAAATCTTTGAAATCATGAAGGAATTCAGGCTCCGCCTTAACCCCAAGAAGTGCGCCTTCGGTGTCTAAGGCGGCAAGTTCCTTGGCTACATGGTCAGCCGGAGAGGCATCGAGATAAACCCGGAGAAGACGCAGGCCATCATCAACATGGAGCCGCCCCGCAACGTCAAGGAGGTACAGCGACTGACGGGGCGCCTGGCGGCCTTAAACCGTTTCCTCTCCAGGTCAGCTGAGAGGGCACTCCCCTTCTTCCAGATCATGCGCAAGGCAACCAGCTTCAGGTGGACGACGGAGTACCAGGAAGCATTCGACGAATTGAAAAGGTACCTGTCGTCCCCACCCATACTCTCCAAGCCCAAGGCCGGCGAAACCCTCTTCTTGTACTTAGGGGTGAGCACGTCGGCCATCAGCTCCGTGCTCATCCGTGAGGACGAAGGGGTACAGAAGGCCATCTTCTACATCAGCAAGACACTCAGGGAGGCCGAGCTCAGGTACTCCCCCATTGAGAAGACGGTGCTGGCCATCGTCCATACCGTGAAGAAGCTGGGGCACTATTTCCAAGCCCACACCGTCCATGTGCTGACCCAGCAGCCTCTCGGCACGCTCATGAGGAGCCCCACTAGCTCCTCGAGGATGGTGAAATGGGCGATCTTCCTCAGCCAGTTTCAAATTGAGATCAAGCCAAGGCCATCTATCAAAGGGCAAGCCTTGGCCGACTTCGTCATCGAATGCACAGCAAGGGAGACGGCCGTCGCCAACCCCGGGCCGGAGCCGGACGACACGTGGACCCTGCTCACTGACGGCTCGTCGGCCGCGAAATCATGCGGCGGCGGCGTCGTCCTCATATCCCCTGAAGGATTCAGGGCCTACTATGTCATCCGCTTCAACTTCAGGGTATCCAACAACGAAGCCGAGTATGAGGCCCTCCTCAGCGGTCTCAGACTCGCCGCCGGCCTCAAGGCCAAGCACCTCAGAATCAAGTGCGATTCCAAACTGGTAGTGGGCCAGGTGGAGGGATCGTACGAAGCAAAGGAAGGCCGGATGAAGCAGTACAAACAAGCGACGGAGGAATTGCTGAAAGCGTTTGAAACCCATGAGATCACTCAGATCCCAAGGGCCGAGAACGCCGAAGCCGACATCCTCTCCAAGCTCAGCTCGGACACCCCGGAGCACATCTCCCAGTTGGCCAAGATCGAGGAGTTGAGCATGTCCAGTATCCATGCCAGCCCCGTCTTGTGCGTCCACCAGCGACCAGAGGACTGGATCTCCGACATCGCCACCTTCATCACAACGGGGGAGTTGCCCCCGGACGAGGAGAGGGCCAAACTTGCCAAACTCAGGGCCCCAAGCTACACCATAGAAGATGGCAAACTCTACAAACGGTCCTACAATGGCACTCTCCTCCGATGCCTGCACCAGGACGAGGCCGATACCGCCATGGAAGAAGTTCATTGTGGCGTCTGCTCCTCGCACCAGGGTCCTTTCAGCATGTCCCGGCGTCTCGTCGTCCAGGGCTTCTTCTGGCCGACGATGGCACGGGACTGCGCTGACCTGGCCAGGAAGTGCACCACATGCCAGGTACTCCAGAAGGCCCCTGGTCGGCCAGCAGTCAACTATGCCCCGGTCAGCACCGCAATTCCATTCTCCAGATGGGGGATTGACCTGGTCGGCCCCCTGCCCAGAGCCGCTGGGAATAACCGCTACATCATCGTCGCCGTCGACTACTTCACCAAGTGGGTCGAGGCGGAACCCTTGGCCAGCATCACGGGGGCCAGATGCCAAAGGTTTGTTTACAAAAACATCATTACACGCTTTGGCGTCCCCCAGGAGATTATATCAGACAACGGCACCCAATTCGAGGCAGCCCCTTTCCAGGAGCTCCTCCGGGAGTTTGGGGTGAGGCACCGTTTCTCCTCCGTTGCCTATCCTCAGGGCAACGGGCAAGTCGAGAACGCCAACAGAACAATAATGGAGGGGTTGAAGAAGAACCTCCAGGCCGCAGGAGGTAGTTGGGTCGACGAGCTCCCCAACATCCTGTGGTGCTACAGAACCACGCCGAGGAGGGCGACAGGCGAAACACCTTTCGCCCTATGCTACGGCTTTGAGGCGAAGGCGCCCACGGAGGTAGCCATCCCCAGCCGGCGAGTGGAGCAATATGAGCCTGACACCAACGAGGAGAATATGAAGATTGACCTACACCTGGTTGATGAGAGGCGTGAGCAAGCTTACGTCCGCGCAGAGAACTACCGGCGTCAAGTAAAATCATACTATGACGCCAAGGTACGTTCCCGGGAATTTCAGGTGGGGGACTACGTCCTCCGCCGAAGGGAAGCAAGCCAGCCGACAGAGGGCGGCAAGCTAGCATTGAAGTACGAAGGGCCCTACATCGTCAGTGCCGTGGTCAAACCCGGCACCTACAAGCTTAAACGCCCGAATGGATCCAATGTACCACGAACATGGAATGTACATCATCTGGTGAAGTTTTATCAGTAATCCGAAGGAGGTGTAGACGGCGAAGCCCTCACCCCTTAACGGGTTACTGATTGAACGCCACCCTCGGCCTCGAGCCACTTATGAATAAAATCATGTTCTGATTTTTCCTCTGGAAATTAAAGTAAAACATTAGCAGGTGCCCTCGTCGGCCACCTTAGAGCGAAAGGCTCAGGTCTGGCCGACATGGCCCCTCGCATTTGCAGCCTATGAGCGACAAGCTCAGGCACTCCATTGTATTTTGTATCAGCGAAGGGCTCAGGCCTAGCTGAGAGAGCACATCGTCCTGGCCCCGTAAGCCTAGAAGTGAAACGCTCAGGTATGGCCGACGATGTCCCCAGGACGAGGGGCCCGCAAACGGCCCACGTCTTGAAACGGGAAGCTCACCGCGTCGTCCACGCGCCAGATCGCAGGACGACAGGCCTGAAATCATGGCCGAGGTGACAAAATCCCAAAACTCAGGGATGGGCAACGACAGCCGTTGGAAACCGACCAAAAGTCTAGCCCGCGTCATAAATAGGCGACGGGACCCGCCCTGAGACCACGGACGTTATAAACGAAGTCCGAACCGGCCGAAGGACGAGCACACCCTTCGGCCGAAGCCTGAAAGAAGGATACCCCCCGAAACAAAAAAAAATATATATATATATATATGAGGGAAAAAGAGGGAAGCCGACGGCCGCGCACACTTGCCGGCCTCGAGCAAGGAAAAAATAAAATCCCCACAAATTCAGGCCCATTTTGGCCAAGTACATATCAGTTAAACACAAGTGTAGTACCACTGACAGGCAACATGGACGACACGTCCACACACCACGAGGGAACAATCAAGGCCGATACACACGCCTATAAAACCCTAACCACATCGGTTGGGTGACACGCGAGAGGTGACCTTCATCGGCCATAGTCCTTGGAGGCACCAACGCTTGGTATGAAACAGCATCGCAAACCGGAGGGTGACCGGGACGAAGCGGGCACTTATCACACCCGCGAAAGGATCAAGTAATCAAAACACGACCTCTACTTGCCATGGAACCATGACTAGCCGACGAAGGCACTGGAACCATGGCTAGCCGACGAAGGTAGGACCACCTCCTTGGACAAGATGTTCCTTATCCAGCACCCTCATCGGCCACAAGCCAGACCTTGGCCGGCAATAGCACCGCAAAGACGTAAACACCTGACATTTCTACTCAGGAAATTATCTAAGTACTCAAACGAAGGAATTCTAGCCGAAGCGGGTACCAGCATACTACGAAGCCGTTAACCACCTACACCTCTACATGTGTACTTGTGAAAAATTCAAAATCCACAAGACTATGGTGAAGGTGCCCTTATCGGCCAGAACACAGGGATACAAGCCGACAACGGCCCTGGATAAAACACCTGGGATGAATCCAAGGCCAGGACGATAAGGACGCCAACGCCTGGACGGAACGGACACTGCGGTCAGGGCTAAAAAGGGAAGCACCTAAAAGGAATCAAAAACACTTGGGAAATTTTTTGAAAAAATCCTAAGTGTTATGATAGCAAAGGAACACCGGTCAAGCCGACCAGGCCACCAGGCCGAAAGGAAAGCACCTAAGTGGATCCCAAAACACTTAGAAAAATTCTGAAAAATTCCTAAGTGTTATGAAACTACATGGACCCAAAAACACTTGGGAAATTTTTTGAAACGAAATCCCAAGTGTTATGACAGTAAAGCAAAGAGGCATAGGCCGACCAGACTACTGGACGGGAAGGCCAACCTCACGGACGTAGCGGACACTCGCGGGTGACCCAAGTTATGACTTGATACTTCGACAATTTACAGAATTGAAATGACAAAGCAAACAAGCACACAAAGGATTCAAGGCCGAAAAGGACAGCAAAAATTTCTTCAATTGATAAATTTCATTACAATTGGGGGGCACTACGGCCGTTACATCACTTGGCAAAAAATTTGAAAATCTAATTACAAAAAATAGCCGATTAAGCTTCGGGGGCACCTCCATCTGCGACCGCCTCATCGGCCTCATCAGCTCCCCCTTCGTCCTCAGCTTCTTGGCCGGCATGAGGTGCAGCACTGGTAGCATCATCAAGGAAGTCGAACTCAGTGTAGTCCGGCTCGCCGAGGCCGGAGCTTTCTATGGGGGACTCCCGCTCCGACAGCGGAAGCGTGGCCTGCTCTTCGGGATCCTTCATCGGCTTTGGGAGCTTCAGGTTCCGTCTAGCCCATCCAGCCGTGTAATTCATGGCCTTCAACGCCCGGGATAGCCGCCGATACAGGAGCCTTTGCATCCGCTCCTGGCCCAGGTTGTAGTAAACGGACATCTCCTGGCTGAAATACTCCCGGCCGGCAGGGGAGTTCATCCCCCAATTCTCCAGCCTGGCGGCCACCACTTCGTAGCACCAGGGGAGCCTCTCATCGGCCTTCCACCCCTCGGCCAAGAACTTCTCGACGGCCTCATCGGCAGCCTTCACGACGGCGGCCTCGGCCTCAGCCTTCGCCTTGGCAGCCTCCTCGCTCCTGCGCTTCTCGGCCTCAAGGGCCCTATGGGACTCTGCGAGCTCCCTTTTGCTCTCTTCGAGCTTGACCAGGGCAACGTCCCTGGCCGCGACGGCCTCATCAGCTTTGGCCTGCAGTGCCTTGGCATCCTCCCGGAGCCGGTCAAGGCAAGCTACCGCCTCGTCGGCCGAGGCAGCCTTCTGCTCCAGCGCTTGCAGGCGGACTATCTCCCAGTACTGCCTCTTATGGCTTTCCATAAGCATGAAGGCACTCTGCATAAGAAAAACAAAGGTCAGGCAAAAACTCTACATAGACGAAGAGAGACAAGAATATAAAGACAATCACTTACTTGGACGAGAAGATCCATGCCGCCCTCATAAATCTTCGGGTCCTCGAGCTTCTTCAAATGAGCCCGATCTTTGGCCGGCATGGCCTTGGCAAGGACGACGTGGCCGGGGACGAGCTCATTAAACACGCCCCTGCCGACGGGGTACTCTATCACTTTCTGATAGGTGTCACCGGCGATCTCCTTGCCGGCCCTCTTCGTCCGTGGTTCCTGGACGAGAGGCAGCGCTGGGGCGGCATCACCAGCAACAGTAAGGTCCACGACGGGACCACCATCGCCCACGCTGGGGACAGCAAGCGTACCGACCTCACTGGCCGGAGAAGGGGAAGGAGCCCTCTTCGTCTTCTTAGAGACGCTCACGCCGGCCTCGGTCAACTTTTTCTGGCCGTCAGTGGCCGGTCTCTTTTTCTTGGATGGGGCAGGCTTTGGGGCCGCATCTGCAGTAGCCCCGCTCCCACCAGCAGCGGCACGCCGGGCCGCTTCGGCCGCCTTAGCAGCAATCTCCTCGGCCGCTTTGGCCTTCGCAATAGCCATCATGGAACGGCGGTCCATGACAAAATCTACAAGGGAAAAACATACACATTAGTAAGGCAAAGGACAAAACATAAAGACAGAAAGCCGAAGAAGGAATTACCATCGGCCTCAGTAGGAATGCCCAAGTCCGGGCCGTCGGCCTCCTCAAAGGTGGTGGTCATCCTCGACCAGAGTTGGAGGTCATCCTCCTTGTCACCATAAACGTAGTACCTCACGAAGCCGAGGGCGGCCATCTTGTACTCAGTGATGTAATCTTTCACGCTCCTCGGCCCCCCCTCCAGGAAAGCCTCCACCTGAGCGTCCAAAATAGAGCTCTTCGGCGGGTCATGCAGATTAAATCTCCCGGTGTGGCCGAGGGAGGGAAACTCGGTGCCACTCTCACCAATGGACACAAACACGAACTTGCTCTTCCACCCATGAATGGACATGGGCAAATCCGTGAAGCTCCTCTTCTTCGACAGCTGCTGAAGAGTCGCGTAGGCCGCACAGTTCTTGTGGCTTCCTCGGCCTATCTGGTACAGATTCATAAATAATGCCGTTGTCGGCTTGTAGCTCAACTCCTCATACCGGAGCAAGAACCCCACCATCAGGGAGTAACTGTTCGGCGTCAGCAAGGCCGGAGGAAGCCCTACCATATCCAAGTACTCAGTAATGAAAGGGTGAAGAGGAAACCTCAACCCCTTAGCAAAACTCATCGGGTATACTCCAAAGTATCCCGGTGGTGGAAGAAGAACATGGTCCGTCAGCTTGGGCGCCCTAACCCGCCCAAACGGCCCCACGTACATCTGGGCAACCAGATAGTCGGCCGCACTGCTCTCCGGCTTTATCAGGTAGATGTTGGTGAGATCCAAGTAGGAGACGCCGGGCCCACTCTTCGGCCTCCTCACTCTTTTCGGCTTGGCAGCTCCCTTAACGGCGGACACCGGCCTCGGGCACGGAATGACAGCAGAAGTGGACGCCTCGTCCACCACTCGGGACGCATCTACGTCCTCACCCTTTGAAGAGGATGCGGACTCCTCGTCCTCGCCCTCCTCGTCCATCAGCTCCGCGGACTTGTATGGACTTAAACGCTCAATCTCCTCCTCAAACTCCTCGAGCACCTCGTAGTCAAGCGACCTCGTGGAAGGCTGGTCGTCGTAGGGGTAGTAGTCGTCGTTCAAGCTCTTCATTACTACTACGGGCTTAAGGAGAACTTACGATCTAAAGGTGTTTAGATGCCTAACACTAGATCAACTACTTACGGAGCAAAATATGAAAAGCGAGGAAGATCGTGATGAACACTAACCTCAAACAATGACGAACACGAAGAACAAGCTTGGGAGTTTATCTCTCTAGAAAATCGGCCAGCACTTCGACAAATTCAGAATGCAAACGTGATTTTTCGTCGGAGGGGAAGGGGTATTTATAGACCCCCCCACCAACGGTCACTACACGTGGCACTCTCCCAATGGCCACATCAACGGCCATCACTGGGGGGCCACCACGTCACCAACGGGCCAGGACCAACCCATATCAACGGCCCACTGGCAAATCAGACTCTACGGCCTACACACGCTCAACGGCTTTACAACTGCCAACAAGCGCCCACAACGTCCCATCTGCTTGCCAATATCACAAATGCCAGACAATAAGTGGACGGCAACGGCCAGGAACGTAACGGCCACAGAACAAAGGGGACAAATAGCCCACAGCCTTCGGCTCCTCGTAATAACCCTTGATGATAACTCTCTACAAGCGATCTGCGCACAAGGGTTCTCCCACAGGGTTACCTTGGCCAGAAAATCGCCATGAGAGTTGGATTCAGGGGGACTACGGCGAGACCGCTTCGGCCAGGGACTCAAGCAACTCCTTCACCCCTCACACTCTTCGGCCTGAAGCAGTGGGGGACTGGGGGACTACACCGGCCTCAACAAAACAAAAGAGTGCGAATAAGGTAACCACAAAGCATGGCCACATCATCCATACAGCACAACGGAACTTCATCGGCCAAAGGCCCATAACGTCACTAGCAACGGCAAACAAGCCACTAGAGGCAAGGACACTCATCGTCCTCCGCCAACAATTAATCTTGACGGGCCCTTCGGCCAAGAACACGAAGGCCAACCAGCAACGGCCAAAAGGAGTGCGCGAGCACCCTCATCGGCCACCCAAAGGAAAGGACGCCATCATCCTCAAAGCAAGGAACAACCTCACCGGCCCAAACATAAACTTCAACCACCAACGGCCAGGAAAGGGAAAGCGCGCCTTCAACGGCCACCGTTGAAAAAAGGACGCTCATCGTCCCAAAACAAATTAAGGAAACAACGGCCTCCCCGCCCACAGCGAGGAACATGATCACCAAAGAGGACACAACGCCAACGCCGCAACGGCTAACGGCCTGGAAATGCCCGCGTCGGCCAAAAACAACAAAGCACAGAAATCTACTCTCCTTCACTTCGTCTACATCTCAGCTTAGAGAGTGGGGGACTCCTGATGGAGTATATGGGTCTGAGCCCCAGGACCCACATACTCGGAAGAACAGAGCACAAGACAACAGAGTGGCGCCCTCGTCGGCCAAGACGCCCCTGTCGGCCGAGAAGAAGCCAACCCGGATTATGATCCTGAGTCCAAGGAACCCGGGTGCCCCCGTCGGCCGTGCCCTCGTCGGCCGTGCCCTCGTCGGCCACGCCCTCGTCGGCCACGAGGACCTCCCAGAATCGGATCCTATACTTACTCATTTGTACAGCCCATTAGTGGCTTTGTATTCGGCCCAGTAGCGGTCCAGTTGTAAATGGGCCTCCCAAGCCCAAGGCTTGGGAGCCCAACCCTAATTTTCTCTATAAATACTCCCCTTGGGAGTAGTTATAGGGGTTACAAAATCATTCTATTGAAGCATATTATTGCACTTCTCTCTCTAGCTCTCACTTCTCTCTAGAATCTAGGAGTTAATACTCTATCAGGATGTGATAGAAAGTACAGGATTGAAGAGGAAAACATGCACAATGTCCCGTTTCTTCTGGATATGCACAAAATAGAGTCCAAAACGTGGCTGTATAAGTTATTTGTGAATCCAGAATGGCTAGATGATACGATAATGATTTACTTTTACTACTAAAACAGTATGTTGTAGTTCTCAATGTAAAATATAGCGTTAAAATAGGTACTATATTAGATTTATAACATTTGATTTTGGTTTTAAATTTGTTTGTTAGCTACTGACATAAGATTTGTCAAGCTAGCAAAAACGTTGCAGGCTCTTGCAAGAAGTATTACAAGATTAAAGAACAAGAATCTCATTTTGTGACCGAAGAAGATAATGAGATTAATGTCAACCTCACAATAGCCGATTTTGGTGGCAAGAAGGACATTGTTAAATCAGTCGATGCACCAGACTTTGACCAATTCAATTTAATATCTTTATAAGATCATGGACATTTCAACAATTTTGATCCATTTTTTGTTTTGCGTATCTTTTGTGTGGACAATATTTCATTATTGTTCGCTTTAGTAATCAGATTGATTCTGAAAATTCAAACAATATTCAAACTTTGGACTCATATTCATATTTTATTTCATTATTATGAAGGAATGTCTCGATAAGAATTTGAGTGTTTATTAGATAGTAGGATCACCCACATAATTTTATGAAATAGATAATTATTTGGTAAATTAATAGCCCATAATAGTTTATAACTACACTGATTTATTCATTAGACGTAACAATGAAAATAGGCAAAAAGCATTAGATAACAAAAAAGCATCTTCTGTATTACAAGAAGAAATAGCTCATACCTCTTTGTGCAGATCACACTACTCGTTTTGTAGCTTGTTCTTCATGACACTTTCTCCCCATTCATTTTTTTATATCTACACACAATTGCATGTAAACCTCAGGAAACATTGTAATCCCAACTTTATGTCACCTCCGAACAGAAGTTGAAAAAAACTGCGTACTTCCCCAACTTGTTTTGAAAAAAGGAGAACAATTAAAAGCATTCATTTAGCAACTATGTTGCACGAACATAAAACAAACAAGGAGATATATATGGACCCACATTCGCCCAAAACACGATCAATTTAGAGACGTTATAATTTTGATGGATGCATCAACCCGTTGGTCATGCGCTGCTTTACTTTCCGCAAGGAACGCAATATTTGTTAAACTCGTAGCACATATAATTCATTCAAGGGTTCACAAACCTGATAATCTTATTAAATCTATAAGATTTGATTATGTTGGGAAATTAACATCAAATACTATCGTACTTTTGATAACTTTTGCATGTCTATTGAGATCAATGTAGAGCATCCCATTCGCTAGTTACATACACAAAATGGTAATGCAAAAACTACAATCAAAATATTACAAATGATAGCTAACACAATGGTAATGCACACCTACTCATTCGCTTTAGACCCACTACGAAACAGCCATTTTCTGTGTACCCTCTGATAATTGAATATAAGCCTGACATTTCACATCGACACATATTTGGTTTTGAAGTATATGTGTCAGTTGCGCCACCATATCGCACTAATTGGGCCCTTAAATTCGATTAAGCATATATGACTGGAGTTGCAATTAATGAATGTGATTACTGTATATCTCTATGGGGATCTTGATTAAGAGATATATCTGAAAGTACTCAATAAACTTTCCAACCAAATCAAGTCACTCTAAACCATGAAGTGTGTTTGCAATAAAGTTAAAATACTCACTTTACGGATTAAAATAATTTGGACGATTGTGATACTCACTTAAAATACCCATTTAAGTGACTACTTTATTGGGAAGGGATATAAGAACGATAAACTATGTTCAGACGTATTCATTAAGAAAAGGAATTGTATCAATCCAAGATCGGAAATATAGATAACTTGTCATTTCAAGACCTGAAAGATGAAATGTATCAAGATAAGGCTCGAGTGATTGAAATCTATCAATCGGTGACCTAACTTGTTAAAAAAAATTTATTTTAAAATTAAAAACTTTTTATAAATATTATTCAATTTTATTAATAAAATCAACAAACATTTCAGAAGAAAAATTTATCAAAAATTAGCAATGGGATCAATAAAAATTAAAGAAAAAAAACGTATGAAAATTGAGGTCCTAGAACGATATTTTTCACTCATTCAAACCTTACACTGACACATTTCATCTTTCATATCTCGGATTGATAATTCATGTGCCTTTCAGGTCCTGAATTGATAGAATTCCTTAAGAAAATGAATTTTGGACTTGCAATTGTAGTTGTATATGTCGATGACATGAACATAATTGGTACTCTTGATAAAATAAGAGAAAGTGACATATATTTGAAATCTGAATTTTAGATGAAGAACCTTGGGAAAACTCAATTTTGTCTACGTCTTGAGCTATTATTGAGTTTATGGGGTATTATCAATCAATCTACGCATGTCCAGAAGATGTCCAGATGATTGAATATGAATCCATTTCATCCAAAGAAAGATGACGAAGAGACATTGGGAGCTGAAATTCCCTACCTAACTGCAATAGATGCATTATTCTACTTAGATAATGCACTCACCCATATTTAGCGTTCTCAGTAAACTTGTTAGCTAGATTTAGCTGTGTGCCAATGTTGCTTTATTGAAATGGTATCAAAAATATTTTTTGATACCTAAAAGGAAATGATGACTTGGAACTATTCTTTCCCTACAAAGAGATAGGATACTACATACGAAATTGTGGTTGCAAAAGAAAATACCTAGGATAAAATGATCACCCTTCATATGAAAACTCCAAATAATAACTAGTTAGGTTTTGATGTTGCTGGGAATCTCTCTAACCCTTACAAAGGCCGTTCTCAAACTGGTTACGTTTTCAAAATCAAGAACATGAATACATGATGATATCTTGGACATCAACTAAACAAACTGTTGTGGCTACTTTCCCAAATCACTCTGAGATTATCGCTCTAAACAAGATGATTCGTGAGAGTGTATTGTCAAGAGTTATCATTACACTAAAGATTCTACTTGCACTTATGAAGATAATACACTTTGCATTGAACACATAGATCTCCTAAGTTCTTCCACAATTAGCATAAACAGGTCCCTCTCAAGATTCAAATGAATCAAATAGAGAAAATTATTACTCATATGACTAAAAGACCATATATTTCTCAATGTATGACCTAATACCTTTTTCCTGTTTTGTTGCTTGTTTTTCGGCCATCCACGCACCTGTATTGATCTCTAAGCCCAAAAATAGCTATCCCATAAATCCTACTCGTCTACCGTGCTTATAAGTCATATTCCCACCGGTCCTACATTTTATTAATATTATGGGAATTTCTCCCTCTATAAGTATCATATTTTGGCATCGATATCATAGATCGATTCATGTTAGCCGACCCCAAATTCTTTTGGGATTAAGGCTTGGATGTTGTTGTTGTTGTTGTTTAAGCTCATAAAAAATATAGGAGACTAGTTTATCAAGTCATTATTGAAGACCACTTTTTAAAAATATGTGAAGAACATATTAATGTGAAATCTTTTTGGACTCCTTTGATTAATGTAAATATTGAGGGAACTTGTAGACATTAAGGGGGATCTTGCCGCTACAAACCATTACATTATACATTTTCCTTAATTCAAGGTTTAAGGTTTGTTACCTTAAATCTTGGATTGTGATACCATTTAAGGTTTGTAATATGTTAATCAAAATACGGATTAAGTAAAGGAGACAATTAAGAAGTCTGTTTTTTTCCAACATGATTTTTAATATTTGAAGAAGCTCTTACACATTAATATCATTCTACACACAACTCATCATAAGGGAGCGGGCTAAAGGAAATGAGTTGTAATACATGTTTGTTACAAGTAGAAGGTGCATCTAAGGTTTGAGGGTGTTTGGTAAATGGGGTTTCTGCTGAAAATGGCGATACGATAACTTTTAGCATTTTCAATTAGTGAAAAACTGTTTGATAAATAGTTTTGAGACATTGAAATGGAAACATATGAGAGTTTTGAGTTAACGTTTTGAATATGACGTTTTCTACTAATTTTATAGCCAAACACCTAAATAGTCAAATGTTTTCTGACAACCCGTCAATTATTGCACTAGTGAAACCCACTGACTGAATCCACTATGGATAGGGATGGACCCGGGCCGGTCCGGTTCCGGTTCCGGGCCGGGCCCGGGCGGGCTTTTTTTGCAAAATGTTGGGCCCGGAACCGGCCCGAGTTGACACTCCCCCCCCCCTTCACCCCCACCCCCCAAACCCCCCCAAAACACCCAACCCTAACCTAGAAAAGCAAAAAAAAATTGAAAAAAAAAAATTGAACCGGGTCCGGCCCGAACCGTCCGGCCCGCTCAAACGGGCTAAAAGCCCGGAACCGGCCAACCGGTCCCGGTCCGGTCCGAGCCCAAACAGTAACGGGCCGGGTCGGGTCGGGTCGGCCCGGTTTAGTCCATCCCTAACTATGGACAACCCCTAACATAAAGCGCTATTCACTGATGCCAAACAAACCCTATATGCATCGAGTTAATAAGCCTAGCAGCCATCCGTCCTGTAAAATCCTAATTCCTTCAAATTGAAGGGGCTTAACAAATGAAATAAGACACACTACACTTCCCTAGAAAAAAACACCATTCCTCATTCTATTTGGGTTTTCAGACAATACGAAATCTGATTAGGGTGTGAACAGAAAAAACAAGGTAGCCAACTGAAGCAACATAATGTTTAAGAGTAAAAATGAAACAGCTTGATCCAATTCAGATTGTCAAAATAAAACTCTTGACCTCCATGGTTCGCGTAAGCATAAGCATATGTGTAAGGATGTCTGGATTCATATACATTTCGGTGTTTTTCATTCTTAGTAAAATACCTCAAATGGGAAGGTGGATGTAGTCCAATGGATGACCATCCACCCTCAAGTCTTTCCTTGGTGGGAGGTTTTGGGTTCAATTCTCACCAATGGGAGATGAGGGAGGTCTTGCTCTCAATGATTCTTCCTACCTTCACGGAGTTGCTCAGCGGCTGAGAAGGAAGAGGATGATAATGAAGGTAGCGGGTTCGTGTGGTGGGAGGAGCAACCTGAAAGGTGATGTAAGTCCTGCTGAATTCATCGGAGCCAGTACTGACGAGGCTGACTGTGATCAGATCCGGATTTAATTGTCTAGGGCTTTGGAAGGTAGTTCATAGACTCCAGGATTATGGGAGCGTAAGCTCCGACACCTGGATTATAAAAAAAAAGTAAAATGCCTCAAAGAACCGTGTCCCACTTTCTATCTACTTTCTTGCATTCGTTGGCTGTCTTCGCTTAGTTGTTGATTGCGTTGAGGTGGGAAGAGCATGGGTCTAGCTAAATGTCTTCTAGAGTTTTGCCAAGGTACCAAAAAATGTACTTATTCTTACCTCATCCCTAAGGCAGTGGCAGATCTTGCGTTCAAAAGTTGAGTGTTCAAAATTAATTTATCGTCAAAATGTTGAACAAATAATACTTTTTGATCCAACAAATGAATATATATTACTTTTTGAACAACAAAATGGAAAATAAGATCAAATGCAAGATATATTATCTAAAAATACACTATATTACATCAATTCTATATGTATACTTTAACATTATTTTTAATTTTTTGGATGTTCACATGAACATCTTTGCACAAAAGGGATCCGCTACTGCCCTTAATGTATGATATAAATGAGGTAATTCATTTAAGTGGGCATCACTTATAGCCGCACATTAGAAGTAGGGGTAAAAATGAGATACATTTTGGGTATATTTAGCAAAGGAATTAAGGTTTGATAGCAAATGGGCCGGCAGACTTATTAATCACATCTAACATAGTAACATCCTTCAACACAACCATATTTGTTCCGATTTCTGTACTAGTAAACATAAAAATCTCAAGAGTATATTTTACTCCTTGTTTACTTATATTTTTTGAATACTCATTTGTTCTTGTAGTATAATTGTTCAAACTTTTTTATCATTGTAAGAAAATGTGATCGGTAAAGGAGCAAATCATATCAAACTTTGTTTGTAAAATAAACCTCCGTCCCACTAAGATTGAAACATGAGAATGTGACACGATTATTAAGAAAAGTGAAGTTGTGTGATTGATATTAAATTGATAAAGTAAGAATAAAGTAAAAAACATTTAGAGTCACGCACTTTACCAAAATTGATATCAGATAATCTTAGTGAGATTTCCCTGAGACAATTAGGGGGCGGAGGTAGTAACAAACATTTATGAATTCAAAGCTTTATTGTGATATTGGCCTATTAAAATTCTCTTAAGCCCAAAAACAGAGAAAGAAAGTGGTTTCATTATGATTCTCCGAATAACAAACAACACCCTTACTATCAATTTCACAGAAAATCAAACCCCTAATTCGTTCTTATCCATGAAACGTATCTTAACATAATAATAATAATTAATTAAAGTATCACCAAACGCTCCCTCCCCGCCGTTCACTCTGTTCTTTGTAGCTTCCAAGCTCCATCCATCTTCTGATTTTTCGCTGTTAAGATTTTAATTTTTTTTTTATTGTTAGGGTCAAACTTTAAGAATCTTAGCAGCTCGAACCACCGGATTCTCCCTCGCAATCGCATCCCGTCCGGCCGCTTTGTAATCGT